CAATGGTTCCACTCCCCATGTTTCTGATCCAAAAGAGGCAGTTTGCTTTTACTGCAACCAAAAGGGGCATTGGAAGAGATCTTGCCCACATATCTGCAAGATATCAAGGATGGCAAAGTGAAGCCATCTTCGGCAGGTATTTACACTATTTCTGCTAATAACTCATTATCTTCTCGTTCATGGGTCCTTGATACAGGATGTGGTTTTCATATCTGTTCTGATTTGCAGGGTCTAAAGGAAAGTGAGGAGATAGAGCGAGGAAGGATAAACCTGATCATGGGAAACAGAAAGTCTTCACCAGTAACCAAGATCGGAGTTTATCAGCTTCTGCTTAGTAATGATGTTAGATTAGATTTAATAAATTGTTGCTATTCGTCTGAGATGACGAGAAACATTATTTCATTTCATGCATTGTTCAGACAAGGTTTTACATATTCTTTTAATGATTTGAATGGTTCAATTTCTGTTTATAAGAATGGTGTTTTTATGTTTGAAGCTTTGCCTTGTAATGGTGTGTATGAAACAGTGACTTGTGTTGATAGCCTAGGAAATAGTGTACTTAATATTGACTTGTCTAATAGTGTAGACAAGGCATGCTTGTGGCATTGTCGTCTTGGACACATTAACAAGAAACGCATAGCCCAACTCCAAAAGGATGGAGTGTTGGAATCATTTGACCTAAAGTCAGATGATATGTGTGAATCTTGTCTTTTGGGAAAGATGACAAAATCACCATTCACAGGGTCTTGTGAAAGAGGTGAAGGTCTGTTGGATCTCATACACACGGATGTGTGTGGGCCCTTCAGATCAACTACAAGAGATGCTAATCGATTCTATGTGACTTTCACTGACGATTATAGCAGATATGGATATATCTACTTGATCAAGCATAAGTCAGAAACTTTTGAAAAGTTCAAAGAGTTTAAGCATGAAGTCGAAAATCAATTGGGCAGAAAGATAAAGATACTTAGATCCGATAGAGGCGGGGAGTATCTTAGTATCGAGTTTAACGACTATCTGAAAGAATGTGGGATAGTCTCACAATTGACTCCTCCTAGGACACCACAGTTAAATGGTGTAGCTGAGAGGCGCAATCGAACCTTGTTAGACATGGTTCGTTCTATGATGAGTCGGGCTTCGCTTCCTATTCACTTCTGGGGGTATGCCTTAGAGACAGCCGCCCACATCCTCAATCTTGTCCCTACAAAGAAGGTTGCCAAAACACCTCACGAAATGTGGACAGGGAAAGTTCCCTCGTTAGCACATATTAAAGTCTGGGGTTGTGAAGCTTTCGTAAGACGAGAGACTCACGACAAGCTAGCAGCTAGAAGTGAGAAATGTGTTTTCATTGGTTACCCAAAGCAGTCTTTTGGATATTTGTTCTACAGGCCTAGTGAGAACGTGGTCTTTGTAGCACGAAGAGGAGTCTTTCTTGAAAGAGAGCTCATATTCAAAGAGGACAGTGGGAGCACTATTGACCTTGAAGAAATTCAAGAGTCAGCCAATGAAGGAACCTTAGATGACACTAGCACTCAACCAGAGGAAACAGTTCCTGTTGAACCAATTGATAACTCATTACCTCTTAGAAGATCCACTAGGGTGAGTGTGCCACCTGAGTTGTATGGTTTTCATATTACTTCAGATGGTGACACATTCATAAGTGACAGAACACTGGTAAACTTAGATGAACCAGTCACTTATAAGGAAGCAATGGCAGGCCCAGAGGCTTCCAAGTGGAAAGAGGCAATGGACAGCGAGATTAAGTCCATGTATGACAACCAAGTTTGGAATTTGGTTGATAGTGCACCAGGTCGCAAGACAGTTGGGTGCAAATGGATCTTCAAGAAGAAGACAGACATGGATGGGAATGTGCATACATTCAAGGCTCGACTGGTTGCAAAAGGTTTACTCAAACCCCAGGGGTTGACTATGATGAGACTTTTTCGCCAGTGGCTAAGATTAAATCTATTAGGATATTGCTCGCCATAGCTGCCTTTCATGATTATGAAATCTGGCAGATGGATGTCAAAACTGCTTTCCTTAATGGGAAGTTGGCTGAAGATGTTTACATGAGTCAGCCAGAGGGTTTTGTTGATGCAAAGTTTCCCAATAGAGTGTGCAAGCTTGAGAAATCCATTTATGGATTGAAACAAGCATCTCGCAGTTGGAATCTTTGCTTCCATGAGAAAGTCAAAGAGTTTGGTTTCTCTAGAAGTGAAGATGAGTTTTGTGTGTATATCAAGGCTAGTGGGAGTATAGTAACTTTTCTGGTGTTATATGTCGATGACATATTACTCATTGGTAACGACGTTCCAACCTTGAAAGAGGTTAAGTCTTGGCTTGGAAAGTGTTTTGCCATGAAAGACCTTGGAGAAGCTGCCTATATTCTTGGGATTAGAATATTGAGAGATAGAAAGAAGAGACTAATTGGACTTAGTCAGAGCACATACTTGGATAAGGTACTAAAGAGGTTTAGTATGGAAAATTCCAAGAAGGGAGAGCTACCTATCCAGAGCAATACCAAATTGAGTAAGACTCAATGCCCGAGTACAGATGTTGAAATAGATGACATGAGTCGTGTACCTTATGCTTCCGCTGTCGGATCGATCATGTACGCTATGACATGTACTCGCCCTGATGTGGCATTTGCTTTGAGCATGGTCAGTCGCTATCAGGGAAACCCAGGTAGAGCTCATTGGATAGCAGTTAAGAATATACTCAAGTATTTGCGAAGGACAAAGGACTGGGTTCTTGTGCTTGGTGGCAGTGATACTTTGAGAGTAGATGGTTACAGTGATGCCAGCTTTCAGACGGATAGAGATAACTTCCGTTCTCAGTCGGGCTGGGTATTTTTACTGAATGGAGGAGCAGTTACTTGGAAGAGTTCCAAGCAAAATACGGTGGCTGATTCTACTTGTGAATCAGAGTACATTGCAGCAAGTGAAGCGTCGAAAGAAGCAGCTTGGTTGAGGAACTTCATCGGGGATCTCGGAGTTGTTCCAACCATCCAGGAGCCTATGGAACTGTTCTGCGATAATGAAGGAGCGGTTGCCTTGACAAAGGAACCGAGAGATCATGGTAAGACCAGACATATCGACAGAAAGTACCATTTCATTAGACATAGAGTTGAAGAAGGCCATCTTATAGTAAAGAGGGTGTCATCTGAAGATAACCCAGCAGATCCCCTCACAAAGGGTCTGAGTAGGGCTAAGCATATTCAGCATGCTCGGAGCATAGGACTGAAAGATGATATTAGTTTTAGTAGTTAGATTAGTTTTTGAAACTTGTAACAAAGTAAATGTAATTGACTTTTGGTGATTAAATAATAAAGTATTATTTATAAGTTTGGCTACTACCTTTTGTCAATTGTTTATTATTGTGTTTCATATTTTGCATGTTTTACTTCCTGAATAATGAGATTATTCAAACTCCACAGTCGCTCGTACTCTTGGAAGTAAGTAGTGAATTAAGACTGTCATGAATTGGATTGCAGATTGTCTAAGGATAGACATGGCAATAGAATTGCTGCAATGTTCATGAGTACTCAGAAATTGAGATTTGAGTATTGGATAAACCCACGCTCAGAGTATTACTTCATGGAATTCATCACGAGTAATACTGAGACGATAATATCTTATAATCTTGAAACGAAGATATATGAGTTGTAATTTACAAGTCGGTTGTGCATTGGTGATACGAAAACGCATCAGTAACTTGGTGTTATAAAACGTATTGTCATGCATAATTTGATGAGTAAAAGATACAAGCATATGAGTCAACGTTTATTCGTTCCTTTTGCCCTAACAGGAAAAGCGATATCTGTGGGCCCCTCGATGATTTGGTGTTGACTTATGTGCTGGGCCCAGCCAGGACTAAATTGATGTGTTCGATTAGAAGTCCTACATCATCACAAATCAGGAATCGGGAAACATAGATTCTGGACAAACAGATTGATTACATTCCATGTCTTTTGTCTGGGGATATCAAGCAGAACGAAGGGTTATATGATCACTTATCTTAGGACACGTAACTGACTGGGTCAGAGTTCGGCAGCAGCTTTTGGAAGCTACAATTTGCTGGTCAAATTTAGAAGGCATACTAGCAATTATAGTTACAGACTTATCCAAGTGGGAGACTGTTGGATTAGGTGTCTAAGCCCATAACTATAATTGGTATGTACTTGAATTGATAGCAGCACAGTCCTTTTGGGTTGCCCTCAACCTAGCAACTGGACAAGGAAATTATGAAAGGAGAGATATTAATTTATAAGATTAATAAATTAATATATATATATAAATGATTTATTAATATGTTAATGGATTAATATATTAATTAGAAATCATTATGTTTAATTAATTGTTAGCCAGAAATTAATCAGAATTGATTTTGGGGTTAAAAGAATTAATTATAAGGTGCAGGGACTAGTTTGCAATTATCTAATAGTTGAGTGGAAGGCTCTAGAACCCCCTTGGAAGAGGGTGGACGAAATCTTTAGGGGAAACCCTAATAATTTCGTCCATAGGGGCTTGGATAAGGCCCTTGGGTTTGCTTAGGCCCTAAGCAAAGGATAACTAGGGTTTCCCTTAAACCCTAGATCCCTCAGCTATATAAGGAGCCTCCTGGTTCATGTTTTTGGTCACTCTTTCTTTTGAAGAAACCCTAAGGCCGAGATTTTGCATACTCCCTCTCCTCTCTCTCTCTTCTACTTTCCTTCTTGCTAGTTTGGGTGTGACTCCATTAGAGGCATTACACTTGTGGTGCTAAAGCTTCCAAGAAGATCAAGATCAAGATCAAGGGAATATCAATTGTTTGCTATAACAATTGAAAGGTATGTAAACCCTAAACCCTAGTTTACTATTTTCGATAATAGCCTCTCTCCTCTAGGGTTCTTGTATTGCAATTCAAAGTTGTATGTTCAATAGTTAAAACATAGATCCAAAGTAGGTTGCATGTGAACTTAGGAATTGTTTTTCTAGTTTATTTGTTTTACCTAAAACCCTTCAATTGGCATCACCCATGATGAAATCAATAGTAACTTGCCCGTGTTTCAAAAAGCCTACACTTGACACGATCCCCGATGGATTACCAGAAATCAACTCAACTGCTCGACCTCCGCGTGGGACCGCATAGTGATTCGAATCAATGTATTTTACTATACCTAAAATGGTCCAATATTGGAGCGGAGATTGGATTGAACTGTCTGGATAGCTTGAATCAGCCTCAAGCAGGACTCCTTGAGAGGAGTTCTCGATAAAGACGGGTCCCACTTCAAATCCACTATTCACAAACCCATTATCTGTTAAAAAAAATTAGTTATTTATTAAATACCTAAAATACTAATATTTTGTAATTAACAACATACCTGAATACGACCTTGGACCATGGATCCCGGTAACTAGAATAGTGTCGACAATAGGCCAACAAGTTGTATTATTACTATTACTTGTTGATGTACTTTGAATTCGTAGGCTCATAAGATCCTTTTGGTTCCATAAGGAATAAGCATAGGTTTGCCACATTTCGGTCCCTAGTGATTCTCTGAAGAAGAATACTTCAGAAGCACTAGGGCCCGAAACATTTACAGAAGTGGAGTTGGCACAATCGGGGCTGCTTGGAGCAAGTGTAAAGGTGAGGACAAAATCGTAATTTCCATCCGGTTTGAATGTTTGGTTAATCATACCGTTTGGACCCAGTTGCAAGCCATGACCATTTCCAGGTAGAGAAACGTTTCCGCCAGCTGTCACGTACCAAATGGTACCGTTGAATGACCAACCGGGGATACGGTTGGTTTTCGTATCGAGGAGTATGAATTGGGAGGTAGAGTTTGTGGTTAGATTTGTTGGTGGAGATTCAAAACCAGAATTCTCAAGTGTAACTGCTTAGTTATATAAAAAGTTAGATCATTAAGGATGGAGATAGTATAAAAGAGCAATGATTTGGTCAAAAGAGGTAAGAACGTACCTTTAGAATACACTAGTGATACCAAGAAGAGCAATATAAAGATGAGATTCACGAGAGCCATTGCTATTGAAGGAGAGTGGGTTGTATATTGATTAAGGAAAATGGCAAGGGGTTAGCTATGAATTTAGGAGAAATGATCGAACATGTTGTATATGAAGATGCAAAGTCTGTTAGGATCGAGACACGAACACGAAACTCTCTCTCTCAGCTCACGAATTATAGATTAACAAGAACACAAAGATTTAAGGTGGTTCGGTCTATTTCTGACCTACGTCCACACGAGGGTAACTTGGAGTTTTTATTTATCTTCAGTGATGTTGGTTTTTTGTCATTTACAAAATACAGAGTAATCTCTTATATAGAGATGGAAATCAGAAGTAGTAAAAAAAACACAGCCGGGTCTTCAACCAGACTTTAAGAAAAAAGCCTCAAAACATGGTCCGTAAGAACCGGATCACCATTCCTTTTTAATCAACATTTTTTGACTAACTTTTCTGTGGATTCACACTCAACAATCTCCCACTTGAAGCCACGAAACAATCTTCACTTGTGCTTCAACTGTGCATCTGTATTTCTGTAAAACACTTTTGATCTTGACTCCATCCTAGTTACCCGACCTTCTCTTCAATTATCCTGAAGGCCAGTTGAAGCTATGCAAAGCTTCAACTTTTCTAAGGTGACAACCTTAGTCAACATATCAGCTGGATTTTCAGTTCCTTTGATCTTATTCAACTTCAGAGTGCCATCATTAATTCTTTCTCTGATGAAGTGATATCTCAGCTGTATGTGCTTTGTCTTCGAATGGAAGACGGGATTCTTTGCAAGATGAATTGCACTTTGATTGTCAAAAAATAATGCACAATCATCTTGTTCTTTGCCAAGTTCGTTGAGAAAATTCTTCAACCATATAAGCTCTTTGCTTGCTTCAGCAACTGCCATATACTCTGCTTCTGTGGTTGAAAGGGCAACACTTTTCTGTAGTTTGGACATCCAACTTACTGCAGTGCCGCCCACTGTAAAGACATACCCTGTGGTGCTTTTGTATGAATCTTTACAACCACCAAGATCTGCATCTGCATAACCATTCAGAACTACGTCTTTTCCCTTAAAATTTAATGCCGTCTTTGAAGTCCCTTTCAAGTATCTCAACAACCATTTAACTGCTTCCCAATGTTCTCTTCCCGGATTGGACATGAATCTACTAACAACTCCCACTGCATGAGCTATATCTGGTCTCGTGCATACCATTGCATACATGAGGCTACCAACTGCGGATGCATAAGGAACTTTAGCCATTTCTTTCTTGTCTTCTTCTGATCTGGGTGACTGAGCTTTAGAAAGCTTAAAGTGACTTCCCAAAGGTGTGCTTCTGATCTTGGCATCTTTAAGGCTGAATTTCTCTAATACTTTCTCAAGGTACTTTTCTTGAGATAGTGTTAAAGAACCATCTTTGTTTCTGAATATACTCATCCCGAGTATTTGCTTTGCAGCTCCCAAGTCTTTCATTTCGAACTCTTCAGACATCTGTTTCTTCAACTTCTTGATCTCTGACATGTCTGAACCGGCAATCAACATATCATCTACATAGAGTAGTAGAATGATATAAGAACCCTTAAACTTCTTGATGTAACAACAATGATCATTGTCACATCTCTTGTAACCAACTTTTCTCATGAAGTTATCGAACTTCAAATACCATTGTCTGGGTGCTTGTTTCAGACCATACAAACTCTTCTTCAATTTACACACCAAGTTTCCTTTGCCTTTATCCTGAAAACCCTCTGGTTGTGTCATGTAAATGTCTTCATCTAGGTCACCGTGTAGAAAAGCTGTCTTGACATCTAGTTGCTCTAGATGCAAACTTTCTGCTGCTACAATACTGAGAACAAGTCTGATAGTGGTCATCTTCACTACTGGAGAGAATATTTCATTGAAATCAATTCCTTCTTTCTGTTGAAAGCCCTTGACTACTAATCTTGCTTTGTACCGTTTGGTACCATCATGTTCATCCTTGACCCTGAAAACCCATTTATTCTGAAGAGCCTTCTTCCCAACTGGAAGCTTTGTTAAGTGCCATGTGTTGTTCTTCTCAAGCGACTTCATTTCATCTTTCATTGCTAGCTCCCACTGCAATGAATCTTTCAACCCTATAGCTTCAGAGTAACACTGGGGTTCACCGTTTTCTGTCAAAAGAATGTAGTTGACAGATGGTGAGTATTTGTTTGGTGGTCTTGTGACTCTGGAAGATCTTCTTAGTTGAACTTGAGGTGTGACTGGGGACTCTGGAGTTGGAGGACTGGTTTCTTCATCTTCAGAATCATTACTGGAATTATCCCCTGAGCTCCCACTGTCAGTTGAATCATCCCCAGATTCAGGGATTTCGACTGGAGCTTCTTTCTTCTTTTCAACACCTTCAAACTCAACATACTCCTTCTGATCTTCTGGACTTTTGTTGTTTCTGTCTTTGTATAACTCGGCTTCGTTAAAGGTGACATTCTTGCTTCGGATTATCTTTCTGCTCTCACTATCCCAAAGCCTGTAACCCATTTCATCCGACCCATAACCAATGAATGTACACTTCTTGGTCTTTGAATCAAGTTTATCCCTGTCACCATCTTTTAACAAACTGTAAGCAGTACAACCAAAGACTTTCAGGTGTTTGAGACTTACTTCCTTCCCTTGCCACATTTCTTCTGGTAATTTAAAATCCAAGGGAACACACGGTGAACGGTTGATCAAGTAGGTTGCAGTATTAACTGCATCAGCCCAAAATGTCTTAGGTAAACCAGAATTCAACCTCATGCTTCTAGCCCTTTCATTCAGAGTTCTATTCATTCTTTCAGCTACACCATTCTGCTGAGGGGTTCCTGGGACCGTCTTGATCATCTTTATCCCTTGCTTGGCACAATAGTCAACAAACTCCTTGCTTATGTATTCACCACCATTATCCGACTTCAGGCATTTTACCTTCAAATCAGTTTCATTTTCAACAGCAGATTTCCATATCTTAAAAGTATCAAATACATCAGATTTATTTTTAAGAAAATAGACCCATACCTTGCGTGTTGAATCATCGATAAAGGTTACATAGTAGTTTTTGCCTCCTAGAGATGAAACTGGTGTTGGTCCAAATACATCCGAGTGAACAAGCTCCAACTTCTGAGCTTTCGGTGTCTTCCCCGTTTTTACAAAAGTAACCCGCTTTTGTTTCCCGAGAACACAAGATTCACAAAATTCAGTTTCGACTTTCTTCAAGTCTGGAAACTTTCCTTTCTGAGCCAACATCTTCAATCCCTTATCGCTCATGTGTCCGAGTCGTTGGTGCCATAAATTAGATGGACTCGGATTGGTGGTTACTGCATGAACACCATCACCAGGTATCTCTACCATGTATAGAGTGCCTTTCTTCTTTCCTTTGGCAATCACCAAGTTGCCTTTGATCACTTTCCATTGTCCACCCCCAAAGTGAACATTAAACCCTTCATCATCCAATTTTCCAACTGAAATCAACTTTCTCCTTAAGTTTGGGATAACCCTGACATCTTTCAATGTCCAGTTGGTTCCCATGGAGGTCTTCAAATCTACGTCCCCAATACCCGTAACATCAAGCACTTGATCATCGGCCAAACGAACTTTGCCAAGATCACCTGTTTGTAGGTTCTTGACCATATCTGGGCATGAGACGGCATGGAAAGAAGCACCCGAATCCATAATCCAGGATTCCACTGAATTCTCAACACAGCATATGAGAAAATCTCCCGATTCTTCAGAGGATACATTGTTTACTTCTTTCTTTTCAGCTGGTAGTTTTGGGCATTGGCTTCTAAAGTGACCCTTTTCTTTGCAATTCCAACATTCAATATCTTTTCGGTTCTTGGACTGCCCCCTTTTTCTGGACTTTGATCTGCCTCGACTACGTCCTCTTTCGTTTCTTCTTCCTCTACTTTCTGTATGCAATAAAGAACTAGAACTAGAACTAGAAGTCTCACCATTGCTTCTCCGTCTGATATCTTCATTTACAATCAAGTCACGAATACTCTCGAAAGTGAGTTTAATAGTGCCGGATGCACTACTAACAGCTGTGACGGTGCCTGACCAACTATCGGGCAAAGATGATAAAAGGAGGAGCGCTTGTACTTCATCTTCAAACTTTATTGCAACTGAGGCTAAACGAGAGATAATCGAGTTAAACTCGTTTATGTGAGCGGTAACTGACATGCCTTCCTTCATTTTGGTGTTAACCAATTGTTTGATGAGGAACACTTTGTTGGAAGCGGACGGCTTCTCGTACATGTTGGACAAAGCCTTAAATACTCCATAAGTAGTTGTTTCATTAACAATGTTATACGCAACACTCTTTGCCAATGAAAGCCTAACTACACCCAAGGCTTGTCGATCCAACAACTTCCATTCTTCATCATACATGTCATCCGGTTGTTCGCCCAACATAGGCAAATGCAAACTTTTCTGATACAACATATCTTCAATTTGCATCTTCCAAAATCCATAATCGGTTCCATCAAACTTGTCAATTTTGATTTTACCATCTTCTGCCATTTTTGCAATTTTCTGAAAGAACAGGGACCTGTCTTGCAATTTTCTGAAACTTCAGGGACCTGTCTTGCAATTTTCTGGAACTTCAGGACCGGTCTTTGCAATTTTCTGAAACTTCAGGGACCAAATCTGAGTTTTTCAAATTCTGCTACAGTGACGCTACAGTGACGCTACAGTGTCGTCTTCTCTGGCAGGTCTCCGGCGTACAGTGTCGTCTTTTCCGGCAAGGCTCCGGCGTACAGTGTCGTCTTATCCGGCAAAGCTCCGGCGCTACAGTGTCGTCTTCTCCGGCGAACTGGTTTTCCCGGTCACTATTCCGGCGAACCTTTGACCGGCGATTTGGACGTCTTCCGGTGGTCGAAAAATTCAGAAAAAAAATATTTTCGGAATCTTCGGAACGAGACCTTTCCAACGGTATACACCAAAATCGTTTTTGACGAAAACAAATTTCGACCAAAAAACTGAAAATCACCTTCTGGAGCTAAACCAACGCTCTGATACCACTTG